ATGCCCTCCATTAAATTTTCAAAGTGATCCGTTGTCTGGTTCACCAGAAACGTCTAATGTGCCATCCACCGTGAATCAGCCTGTATATTGCTCTTTACGTAGACGACGGACTGATCTTATCGAAGTCAACTGAAATTATTGGTATGGTATTGAAGAAACTTGCATTACAATACAAAATAACTACCGGAAATGGAGATTACTTTGCGGGAATTGAAATACACCGAGAAAGAGAACTCAACCAGATTTTCATAAGCCAGCAGTGATATTTATCAAGGATCCTGGAGAAGTTGAATATGTTCGACTGCAATCCGAATTCAACACCACCAGATCCAAATGCAGTCCTGGAAATGGGACAACGCACGACTAGTGAAGAACAGGAAATGGAATTTATACCCTACAGAGAAGCAGTAGGATCTTTAATGTTTTTGGCAACTGTAACAAGATTCTTCTTCTTCTTTCTTGTCAAAGCCAAAAAAGGTACATTGGGTTGCTGTTGAACGAATATTTAGATATTTGAAAGGAAGTCGTGATGTCGGTATCAAATATTGAACAGAAAGAATGAACGTGCAAGCCTTTTCTGATGCAGATTTTGCCGGGAACATTGATACTCGCAAATCANAGAAAATATTGTTAAAAATAATTTAAGACACTTAAGACGCAGGTACCTAGAAGATGTATCTATGGTATAAATAAGAATAACATTGTAAATATGTCTAGTTTCATCTTCCTCTTGAAGATGATCACTTGGTGTTCGAAAAACGTATCGAGGTGTTGAAATAACGGTTTGGTGTTGGGAAAAAACTCCATTAATATTTATGTATTGGGACATTGGGACATTTTCTTCGCTAAGTTACTTCCATAGTACTTAACATGGCACTGCCATGTGTTTACTGGAATATGTATATGTATAAATATATGTATGTATATATGTATAAAATTATTGTATGTTTACTCACAGCAAAAACATAGTATTGTTTGTAGGCAAATCAACCAAATCTGGAATTTCAGTCAAACGAGTCCAAACAATTCTCCTACAAAATACACGAATCTGATGATAGTGACTGTATTTATTATTCAGTACTTACAATGAATAAAACGTCGTAGAAGTAACACCTCTAAGTAGTCCATACAAAAATCTCACTTGTGGAGCATACGAAATATATCTGGAATTGAATCAATGATCACTGTCTAGTTTTTCAGAAAACTGAATTAGTGGTTTGAACAAAATGACGATAGTTACTCGTATATATTGAAATTCCAACTCACAGGGTCCTCAATTCGGTCATGTTGGCAAACGTTCCTTCCTCTATTACTCTGAGATAAGGCATATTTGATAGTGTTCTGTAAAGAATGAGAAAACAAACAAATGATTTAAGCTATTGTTCAATAAAATGCTGAATAGGTGTTACCATAATAAATTTAATATTTTCATTCAAATTACTGACAATATTTGGGAACTACTGCATAATTTTCAGCGAATAATAGAAAAAACAATTTTCTATATTGACAGGTAGATATGGAACCCCTGGTTGGAGTTCTAGATTCCTGTACAACAACCATTTTGGCAGGTAATTTACTTACATTGGTTTCTCCGAAAATAATGCATTTACTCACATATCTCTGATTTGTTCCCTGTATGGATCGAAGGAATTTTTACTTATGTGCACAATGATACAATCTGTAATGGTCAACTTGATGAGGGAAGTTGATAAATTTTTCGGAATTTCTGAGAGAGCTTTTCCGTAACAGTGGATATCTGTACCATCATCATTTTTGTTGTCACACTGATGATCAGGATAGCTGGTAAATAAAACAGAACTCTGTTCTGCTCCTATTTCCGTCCAAGCACTCGAAGAACTTATAATTGCAAACCAGAGCAGAATACAAAACATGCCCTGAAAAAAAAATCAATCTCAATTTCTTGTCTCTACTTGCATCATCACTTCTATATCTATTTGCACACATCACAGATGATTCTGGTTCTTTCTCAACAGATTTTTTTCTGTAAGTAGTGAATAGAAACTAAACTAGAATTAATATCTGCCTGGCAGGACCAGTGTTTAATGAATGGCTGAGTAATGGATTGTTTTACGTGATTATAATCGATATTTGCAAGAATCAAAACCAAATGATGTCAATATATTTTAGAATCTATAAATATTATGTCTAACTGCAGAAAATTCATACTTGTATATGCAATAAGTTTTGTTTCAACCAGTGGCGTCGAAAAAGTGGGGCGGCGGGGGCGGGCTGCACCGGTTGTCACCTTTTTGGGGGTGACACCAGCCCGGTGACTCAACTTTGAGAACAATATACAAACATTGAAAAAATTTGCCAGCACAGGTGTCTTCTTCGGGGATTCCTCACAAGCACTAGCTCAGCACTGTGTATAATTCGGGGTTTCTCCCAAAAGCGGGCGACGCTATCGTGTGGGATTCCCCGTCTCATAATCGCGATCCTTTTGGTGCGAGAATCAAACATCGAGTTTGCATACCTCTAAAAGGAAAACTGGATTTCAGCAAAGGAAAGCCAAACAGGCTAGTATGTATGTAGCTCAGAGTATATCTGGATCAAAAGTGGAAAATAGTCATGAAATAATTCAAAAACATTCAAGCAAATACATGAATTGAAAGATGTTTCAACCTCAACTTCAATATTCTAAAACAAATACACTCAGGATTCACAATTCCATCTTTCAATATTCCAAGTTCATAGGTATCAAAATTGATACGATTACAAGATATAGAAATATAAATAATCTCCAAATACGCACAGTTGCACGGATGCGTATTAAACATTTTACCTTAGTACGGTGACCGGAGCAAAGTTACAACATGAATATGAATCTTTATGAATGTTGAGGTAGGTCAAGATCATCAACAGAAAGTATTGGGAAATTCATTCAGTATTCATTGATCACCTTCAGAAACGGTTCCAGATCATTTTTAGAATGCAGTACATCTCCCTTTCTTCGAACCTGCTGGGTAGCAGTATGATGTAAATTTATGGTGATTCTTTGTATTTTTCTTATTTGCCAGCACAGGTGTCTTCTTCGGGGATTCCTCACAAGCACTAGCTCAGCACTGTGTATAATTCGGGGTTTCTCCCAAAAGCGGGCGACGCTGTCGTGGTGGATTCCCCGTCCCATAGACGCGATCCTTTTAGTGCGAGAATCAAACATCGGGTGAAAAATGTACCTGAGGGTGCATACCTCCAAAAGGAAAACTGGATTTCAGCAAAGGAAAGCCAAACAGGCTAGAATATATGTAGCTCAGAGTATATCTGGATCAAAAGAGGAAAATAGTCATGAAATAATTCATCTTTCAATATTCAATTCCATCTTTCAATATTCAATTCCATCTTTCAATATTCCAAGTTCATAGGCATCAAAATTGATACGATTACAGGATATAGAAATATAAATAATCTCCAAATACGCACAGTTGCACGGATGCATATTAAGCATTTTACCTCAGTACGGTGACCGAAGCAAAGTTACAACATCATCATATGAATCTTTATGAATGTTGAGGTAGGTCAAGATCATCAATAGAAAGTATTGGGAAATTCATTCAGTATTCATTGATCACCTTCAGAAACGGTTCCAGAGCATTTTTAGAATGCAGTACATCTCCCTTTCTTCGAACCTGCTGGGTAGCAGTATGATGTAAATTTATGTGATTCTTTGTATTTTTCTCAACGATTTAATGTTACTTCATTCCTGAGTGTATTTTGCTTGTTTTTTTTTATAATATGAATTTTGTTAAGTTTTTGAATGGGTTCTTTCATTATTTGAATGAATGAGGTTTGGGTTAAACAGCGATAAATCCTCTCGTAATAAGCAAAGCGAGTACTGAGTTGCGACAATATGTTACAAAAACGAATGACAGTACAAGTTCATCAAAAGAAACTAGTTTTCACCTTGAAGCAAATTCAAGAGATGCTTTAGATAATATCAGCTCATTTTCAGGAAGCAACATAACCAGTACAAAATTAACTTGGAACCTCTGGAACTCCAACACTAGAACAAAAATCACGGTCTCTCGACCCTCGTTTCGCTAACCAAGTTAGCGTCCTCAGGAGATCATTATGACTGAATTTTACTACTATGTTAGTGTGTTTATATCCTAGTGGCCTAACTACTACCTGTTAGTATTACCTAACTACACCGGTTAGTATTATATAACTACTACCTGTATTTAATACCTCTAATTTGTTACGTATTTCCGCTCTGTTAGTGATCATCTCTAATATTTATTGGTTTTTGGTTTAGACTTATTACGTATAAGACCAAACAAGTTACTGTTCGAAATAGGACCTTTGTCGCTATTTATAGAACTCATTCCGTACTTTTTGATTTCCAAGCTTTCGAAGGCAGAAACCTGGTGTCACGTACCGGTCTCCACAATTTTAAAGATATTAGCGAAACATGCGTCGGAGACCGTAATTTTTGTTCTGGTGTTGGGAAAATGTTTTCAATGGGACAAAATTGATTAACACGAACAAAGTAGATGCTGAAAATTATAGTAACAGTACTAATAGTGCTACCGATGAGAAATATACTACTTACGTAAATGAACAATTTTCATACTTTGAGGATTTGTCAGAATGCAGTATTCCTGTTCCTTATATTGTTAGCATTGAAATAATATAAGAGGAAGTGAATATTTTCAAAACACGGAAGGACCATTTGCCACTGTATTTAGGCACGAAACGAAAATAAAAAGGTGGCGCACGCCATCTTTCAAAAGATTGGTTTTATCTTATGGTCATAGATGGTTTATTCCCCTACCTCGAGTAACCTGTACTGCTTCTGCTGTCGTTCATTTGCTATGATCAATAATACTAATGCGGTAACATTTACGACTGGTTTTCAAAAGTGGTGGAAACTATATCCGAAAGTGGCTGACCACGAATATACAAATGAACATCTAGAAAATCTCGAAAAATGGAAAACTTTGGAAATGAGACTGAAATTATATGAAGCAATAGATGATGCAACTTTGCAATTGATGGAAACAGAAAACAGTAGTGAAAGCATCTTTTGACTTATGTCTCCGAACCTTTTTTGTCTTATTATTTGTTTACCATTCAAAAATGTATTTCCGATAGCATATTTCATTCTAAACAAAAAATGTCTCTTGGGTTTTTTCCCAAAATAAACCAGTTCGCAGCAGCAACAACCAGTACACCCTGTATATATGAAATACGCGAAGGGCTGTGGCTGCTCATCGTTTTCCCAAATGGATTTAATCTCCAGAAATTCAAATCCAATGTGAATTGCTACTTCCGCACAGGCACCCCTCTTGAGGATTTTCCTGTAGTGCTTGTGTTTTGTCCTTAAAAAAGAGGAAGAATCTCGTTCGCCGGTAAATGTCGAACCGACTGTCTTGGGAACCTTAGTTTATCTTTGAAATTCGTGAATTGAGCCATATAATACAAACATTTAATAATTATTCTGATATTAATGGAGGATAAAATGCGATTTACATTTAACATTTAAGGTTTATTGGATCACAAAAAAAAGATCCATTGCAACATCAGTGATTCATCCTAGAATAGTTAAAATCACACATTACATATTTTTGTAAACAACAATCGACAATGTACAATAATACAAACGATATAAACGACATTTGAGAAAGAATCTACTTACTTTATTATTGGGAATTCAAGGTCAATAAATAATTTTCAATAATTAACTTATTTGCTGACACCACACACGGTTTAGGTTTTAACTATAAGTTCCAATAGATATCGCACGTGAATATTTCTAAGTAGGTATTCCATTCACGGGCTCTTCATCAATTTAATCTTTAAAGAAAACGAATAAAAGTGATAACGGATAATATATAGTTTATCATTATTCTGATCAATAAATAATAATCTCTCTGGATTTATTTTTAGTACAGAGCATAGGAATTTTATTTATTCTTAAAGTCTAAAATGAATCCCAATCTGTAGGCTATTTGTGAAAATTCTTCAAAAATTATAGCAAATATACCGAGTGGCACGAAATATACGTACTTGGGAGGATGAAAAAGTTTATGTAATCTGGTGATATAGAAATCACAGTTCCCTCATAGTCATTTCAATTAGTAGTTATTGATTATGTTACAAAGTTGAATTGTTCGAAATACATTTGGAAGTTTTTTGGGAAAGAAAGTTTTTGGCTTTCAACTACTCCATCTTGATACAAAAAAAAGTATAAGGGAATCTTCCAAAGAAAGGAAGGAAGTAATCAATTTGAAAATAAGTAAATCTATACATAGATGTGTAGGTCATGCAAAGAAGTAACTTTCAGACACAAACTGAAAGAAAGTCCTCCTGAAACAGCTACTTTCGTATGAATGATATCTGATTTTCATTCCACAACGAATGTTTGAAATACAAAGTGAGTAGAGAAGAGTATGAATTTCACTAGTTCGGAATTCCATTGTCTACTATATAAAATGATTTGAAATCCCTAAAACAAACAACAAAAAGAAGAATTAAAAATGAATAGCTGAAAATAACAATATCAAGCAAAATAAACCTGAAATGAAATAATAGTAAAATAAACTACAAGTAAAATAGAACAATTGAGCAAAAATAAATAAAAATAAAGAAATGAAAAAAGAAAATAAAAATAAAAAGTTTCGATTGTTAGTATCTACAATAGTCTTCGGGTGATCACTGGACAGAAAGTCCCTTCATTTTTTTATAATTATACTGTTCCTCATGACTCAACCTGAAAATCATTTTTAAAATACACCATTGGGAAAAGGACATGCCTATGTTAACCTGGATACACAAACGTTTCCCGAAATAAATAGTTATGTAGGTTGACTAAATTACCCTATCTTGATTTTATATAATTTCTAAAAACATGTGGATTCGTTTTTCGATGACATTTCAGGAGATTTTCCCAAATTTCTGATAAATCAGTTGTCGGTTTCAACGCCTACACAAAAATTTGCTAAGCAAATTAGGTTGTCTCGCTTGCGTTTAGGTAGTGGTTTTTATGAATTACTCGTCTTCAGTGTCACTATTTTTCAGGTTCGAAGGCCGTGGATTTTTGTAATTTCTTTCTCGCTGGCGCGAATGGCTAGTTTCTTCAGAGGTTTATATATTCTGGATTACTATCCAATGACTGAAATTACGGTTTCATAACGCGTATTTAAGCTGTGTCAGGTACTTTGGAGTGCTGATACCTAGATCAAGTAATTTGTCGTTAACATTCATTGATACTTTTCTACATTTTGTGTTGAAATTATCCACGCCATCTAGTTGCTGCGATGGGAAGTCCACTTAGCCCACTACTTCATGGAACGTTTTGAAGAGAAAGCAATCGACATATTCGAATTAAAACCGACCTTGTGGCTACGTTACGTGGATGACACCTTCGTCATCTGGAAACATGGAAGATACGCTCTGAATCTTTTTCTGGACCACTTGAACGCTCAACACCCAGGCATCAAATTCACGATGGAGACTCAGCAGGATCAGCAGATAGCATTCCTAGATGCTGATTCTGCTGCATGCATGCAACAGTAGGGGTATATCGCATGCCGCGCACTTATGAAAAGGTATATACCGGAAACGCCAAAAGATCTATGGGAACAAGGCTGAAGGAGCATGAAAGGAACTGTAGACTAGATCAAACAGACAAGTTAGCTGTGGCAGAACACGCACTCATTGAAGGAAACCACAGGATTCTGTTTGAAAACACACAACTCATTGCCCCCAACCAGGGATTCCATAACCGACTGGTACGGGGGGCAATAGAGATCCACAAACACACGGATAATTTCAACAGAAAAGAATAAGCGGTGAACCTCAATCAAATATGGCATCCCATTCTAAGGAGTGGTAAATTTTCGTTATGCGGACACCCGGCGATTTTGAAAAAATTTTTGACTGTACTTACGTATTTTGATGCGTAGATTACGAATCCGAAAGAAAAAATAAGGCTGAAAAGTTGCCCTTTTCTGAACTTTGAAGGGCCGTAACTTTTTAAATAAGGGAGAGCGCCGCTTTTTTCTTTCGGATTCGTAATCTACGCATCAAAATACGTAAGTACAGTCAAAAATTTTTTCAAAATCGCCGGGTGTTCACTTACAAATATGATGTCGTATTTGAAAGAGGAAAGTTTAAAACCGAATATTTTGTAATGCTTTGAAATCGATAGATTCAAGAAATAGAAACATTTACTGAATGACCAAATAGAAAATGTGTCATCATGATTTTTCATCAAGTATCGGCCAATTCCATCATACATTGCTAGCAAAAACAAACATCGTGGCTGATTTAATTGAATCTGATTGCTGAAGATGATTGAATTCTACCATCAAATCGTTTTTAACGTTTCTCATCAAAAGCCGCCTATTGGAAAATTCGATCATCAATAATCGTAATGAACTGGCATTTAATCTGAACATGTAACGAAATACATATGATGGGCGTCCAGGCGCCAGCCTGACGGAATTATTTTCAGCATGAAAGATATTAGATTCTTTTTATAAATCCAATTATTGATATTCATATCACCAGATTGAGCTGCCTGTCTTGTCCAATCAGTACAAAACCGAATTTATTTCATTACAAAAACTAATTCCATCTCAGGAAGAGGATATTCTTCAACAATGGTTAGGTTTGAGTAAAATAGAGGAGTGACGTATTATATTGGGTTTTAGGTAAATTAGTAGATAATCCGATAACTTCAATTAGTTCTACCTATGTGCTATTCGTAAAAAAATCTGACCTCAATAAAAGTGATATCGTTTTCAAATCAACAAAAAATGTTGGAAATATCTCAACTTTTGCGTGTTTTTTCCAAATTTATGAAATTTTGATTTTCCAAGTATCTATTTTCTTCTAATCAATTCTGATTACCTACTTAGTTCATTGAATGTAAGTGTTACTGAACAATTAATTGTTAATTGTTTCAAAAAACTTCAAACATATTTTCAGTTCAAAATGTTTTCCACTCGTAATAATATAGTCGTATGGAGGTTCACTTGTCTAATACAAATGGCATTTTTCACTGAACTTTTGATATTGCTATTAATGAGACTGTCCAAGGAGCAGTGTTTTGTGCTATTGAATTTTTTCAGATTTTAAATTTTTAAATGAAAATACAAATAAAAACTCTTCAATGGCTTTTGTCAATTTTAAATGATCCCAACGATTATTCAAGATGGTGGCCTTATGTTCTTATACAGTCCCAACACTTTCTATATACGCATAGCTTTTATAAATACAGCAGAGTGTTTGACTATAAAATGATGAGTACATTTTACAANTAAGACGAAACAAAGAAAAACATTTGTTTCCACAGACAGGTTCCATGTGAACCTAAGTGGCAATCGTTTTTATTTGTACACTATATATAAATGTACTTAGGATACATTTATGCTTTTCAACAATCAATGTAATAATTCTAAGAAGATTTGGCAAATAAATATTATTATTATTAATCTTACCTAGGTTGTTACAAAGCATGTTGTCTCAGAATAATTTGGTGAAAGCAAAATTGTCTTATATCGAAGAGTTCAGTTTCAATGAAAAATAGGGTTTGTATGATAAATATATGGTTTTTTATAGATACTTTTTATAGATATTGTTCTTTGCGGAATTTCCAATGATTTCAAATGGTTCTTTGCTGCAGTTCCCCATGTAACAATACCACAGTTTAGATGAGTTTGAATGAGTGAAAAATAGAGTATTCGAAAATATTTTATTCACAAAAAACATTTCAGATAATCGAACTTATACAGAAGAAAACGTAATTTTTGTTATTAGGTATTGAATATTCCTAGGTATTCCACTTGGTATGGCAATCAATGTATAAGCCAAGGTATTTGACACTGTCTGTAGGATTGATTGCACTAACCAGCCATCAATTTGGACATGTGATTCACTGAATTCCGGCAAATTTCTCTCATATAAAGTGAAGGATATAGTTCAAGTAAACCTACCTTCCAACAGCTCCCCTTTAATAATATAGTTAGGGAGCAAACTAATTTCGTTATTCAATAATCATTCCTGATTATATAAGAATCACAATTACTGTTTNAAATAGAAAATACAGAAAGTATTGAAAAAAATTACTACTAAGTTCCCCCGAGGACAGTGAGAGTTTGAGTACATCAGACATGACTTCTGTTGATACATCATCAGATTCTACTTTGTCTGGAATATTAGTTGAAAACTGGAATTCGAAAAACAATATTGAGCGAAGATCTACTTACGTCATAGAGAAAAATCCGAAATGATATCTTGAAATCCCAAGGTACTCTTTATTTATTATAGAACTTTTGTCTCAAAAATGCCAGTTACCCAGAATTGATATATACACATTAATTTGAAGAAAATTTAATTGAATTGACGATAGCAGCGATTCATAATCTCCAACTACAGGCCCGGTTACCACCGCTTGAAGCTCGTTTGCTTGGTGTGACGTCACGATGTACAGCGGGCGATCTCACATTTTCAATTGTGCTTGTTCAGTTGTTAATTGAGATATAAACCGGAAAAGTTTGTGGGATACTTGGGAGATGATTTACTTTCAGAATACATAATTTTCAATAAAAAAATAAATTAATCTGAATGAGCCCATTTTGTTTTCTAGTTATAATGCGGATATGCTAATTTTAAAACCGGTGAGTAAACTAAATCGATTTGATCATTTAACAGGTTGCACCCGCAATGTTTATGTTTGTGAATTTACAAGGATTCTTGCATAGTGCAAAATTTCCGTGTCGTTTAGATTCG